TTTTTGCTTCAGTGAGGAATTCTCAGCAATTTGGGGCTGAGAAAGTGACCAAAACAAGCAAATAAGGGCCTGGGAAAGTGCAAATCTAGGCACCAGGTCAGGTGACTTGTCCCACTGCCAGATTCCCTGGGAGGCCTCCATTATCTGACCTGGACCTTTGTCCTTAGTCTTGGCTAGAAAGACAAGAGGAGGCCCAACTAGCTCTCACGACAAAAATACTGGAACTTGTATGATTTCTAGTCAAAAGGGACATGAATTTGTACCATAGTTTCATCAGTTAACACTGGCACATAAGTATATTCCTTCCCTTTGTGCATGCCTTTAATGGCTTCCCATGATTTTGTTACATATGTGGGTGCTACTCATTCATTAAGTCGTTGGAGACAGTCTTACACTGCTTTCTCACGAGCAAGCCAGTGCTTACAAAGAGCTAGAAAATTACCATACGTTGATCATAAGTAAAAGTGCTGTCAGTAAATCTCCCACTGAGCACTAATAACCCTTGGCATATTTACTCCCATTCTTTCAATACACATACACTTCTGTAGTTATGGTGATACACTACATTAAATTTACAATTAAATTGGATTCATGTATACATCACATTTTAAGTCCAACATTTTTCATTTCTGATTCCTGAGTAGATTGAAATCATCCTGAAACATATGCAACACCTGGATTTTAGACAATAAAACATGCCCAAAGACCTTCTTGGGTGACCCGTTCATTAAACTATTGGATTCTTACTGCTTTTCAATGTACACACAAAACACAAAATACCTAGAGTCTTACTAATCAAGAATCTTAATATTGAGGCCTAGGGCTGGGGATTTAACTCAGTGGTTTGAAAGCGCAAGGTCCCAAGTTCGAACCCTGATACCAAAAAAAAAAAAAAAAAAAAAAAAAAAAAAAAAAATTGAGGCCTACCTTAGTTAAACATTGCTATGGTGACAGTATTCCTCCTAATAATGAAACAGACACTACAAACTTATACTTCAAAATATTAGGGATTTTTAAAAAACACACTTTTAGAATTTATACTGAGATTTTACTCTTATATTTAAAAAACCATGGAGCAAACAGAATTAGAAAAATGAAGATGAAATTGTTATTCTCTTCAAAATTGTTGAGAGTAGGTTTCAAGGGTTCTTACCAAACATCCAAAAAATGTTAATCTCATTATGAAGGGATGGATATGTTAATTAGCTTAATGGTGAGAAGTACCAAAATGTTGTTGCATATCCTAAATATATTTCATTTTCATTTGTCAATTGTACTTTAATATAACTGGAAAAAGTATACTGGTCTGGAAATTAGTCACTTTACCTCTTCAAGTATCTGTTCAAGATTGACAAAGAGCAAAATTTAGCAAATGCTTTGGTTTTAAAAGTAGGTTAAAAAATTAGTACTTCTCAAATTGACTCACTTAGATGTATATCCTAAGGAAACTTTGAAATGGATGTATTCACACCACTTACATATGGCTATAATCTTTCACTAATTTCCCTTTATATAAGTGCAAATACAGAATTGAATATGTTTATAAATAAGCACGAGGTCAGGTGACTTGTTCTACTGCCAGATTCCCTGGGAGGCCTCCATTATCTGACCAGGACCTTTGTCCTTAGTCTTGGCTAGAAAAACAAGAGGAGGCCCAACTAGCTCTCACGACAAAAATACTGGAACTTGTATGATTTCTAGTCCACTGAATTTCAATTTGAAAGGCATACTCTCACATTAGGTATAATATTCACTATAATTGTAAAATACTGTAACTTTTCACAGTATTTACACATATATCGGTAGATATAGCCATTTATACATGTTTGTTTGTCTTTAAACATAATTGGGTGCATACTGGGTATAGTTTTGCACAAAGTTGTCAGCACTAACTTAAGCAATTGGCTATAT